TACATGTAGATCCAACTGACCTGATATAAAATTACCCAGCATGCAATTGCCAAGATATCACCCAGCCATGCTGTTATTTAATGTATTATATTCTAGCGATCACTTGCGATTAGCTTGTACATCTACTGTACAAGCACGCACGCAACTCAATTATCCTTAGAATGCATAATTCCCACATTTACAGTAACTCTATGCTCTTACTCAACTGAAGAAACATGGCGACTAGTGGCTAGCCTAGAATGTACGTGCATAATAAATATCAGTGCTGGAAAATGTCCGGCAGAGCCAGCAGCACCGCTGCCAGGAAATGTTTAACAAAATATCTTCGCAAGAAATTTTCTTGCACCTTGCAGGAAATTTTTGTCATCTTATTTACAGAAATGCCATATAATTTATTTATTGTTTGAAAATTCCAAATTAAACATTTTGCAAGTCAAGATGTGTGGCATCATAGTCCACACGTTCTCTGAAATTTACATATGCAGGACGTTTTATAGTTGACTTGCACAGGAATTTTAATTTTTGCTGCCGAAGATAAATATATTTTCTAGGCCTGATAAATAAATTAACTTGCTTCATTTAAATCTGTACCATACGTTCTGCGCCTGCTAAAGAAGACAACTTACTGTCGCCACAAGAAAGTTATTGTGTGAGAAATGTCAACAGCATACTTGCATACCAAATAGAAGCATCAACATTTGCCACTGCAACACATGCAGCATATAAATGCAAATATCCTGGAAATTACAGGGGAATATGTATAAGCAGTTGCTTAGGTAAATTCTTTACTTTAATTTTGAATTCCCGTTTTAACACTTTTTTGGAGGGAAACAAGATTTTAAATAAATGTCAAATTGGGTTCAGAACGTCTGATCACATACTTGTACTAAAAAGTAATTGACTTATACAAGAGCCACAAAAGGCCGCTATTTGCATGCTTCATAGACTTTCGGAAGGCTTATGATAGTGTATGGAGAGAAGGTTTATTCCATAAACTCATTCAATATGGTTGTAGCAGAAATTTTATTTGTGTTTTACTCAGCATGTATTTCTCTGTTAGGGCTGCAGTCAAACTTAATGCAGGAGTTGCTCCTTCCTTTGCAGCTAACATTGGACTTAAACAGAGGTGCAATCTTAGTCCAACTTTGTTCAATGTTTTCATAAATGATATTCCTGAATTGTTTATCACCAAAGATTGTGATCAGGTGTATCTGGGAGAAACAAAAGTAAATTGCTTACTTTATGCCGATGACCTAGTACTTTTATCACAGTCTGAGTCTGGTCTACAGGAGAGTCTTGCTAAGTTGGAATGTTATATTAAAAGATGGAAATTGAAAATTAATTTAAAAGTTCTAATCTTTGGAAGTAAATCTCAAAGGCGGCCGTATATTACGACGAATTGGTATTTTGGTGGAGATCTGATAGAATGTGTTGATGAATATCCTTACCTAGGAATTACATTTCATTATGCTGGTGGTTTTAAACTTGCACGTAAGAGATTGCATATAAGGCACTGCTGGCTTACCACAGTACCTTTATAAACTAATTTAATTTTAACAGGTACACAGTGTTGAGACACACAAAAATTAAAATTTCAAAAAAACTGACTGCTTGCTGATTACAACGTAACAACCACCTGGTTAGATCAGCAAGTTTTTCTTGTGTGCGGCAGGCTTTAAACAGGACCCAATCACCTCTAATTTGACATTTAAACAGCAAAAAACTAAAGCACAAGCTGCACATTGTATGATCTAGCACTGGCTTTCCAGAAATTGCCCTCTGGGTAAATTATACCTTTCTAATAATAATAACTTTATTCATAACAAAATACCAATACTGGTACATAATGAATAAATAAAATTGTATAAAAAATATCAAATCACAAAATCGTTGACTAGTATAATGTAACTAAACAGGATATATAAAATACTGAATTATTTTATATATCCTGTTTAGTTATAGTATACTAGTCAACGATTTTGTGATTTAATAGTTTTTATACAATTATATTATTTATATATCCTGTTTAGTTATAGTATACTAGCCAATGATTTTGTGATTTAATATTTTTTATACAATGTTATGTATTCATTAATATGTTAATTATGTTCTAAAATGTTATGTATTCATTAATATGTCAATTATGTTCTAATATGTTAATTATGTTCTAAAACTGCACTATAAAGTTTAATAGGATCAATTGTGGTGTACAACATCCCCCCCCCCTCCCCATAATTTAACGTTGTATAGAACTACCTGGTTCTTTAAAAAATGCTTTTATTTTTGTTCTAGGATACTACCAGACTGCAGAGTATGGCAGTTTTCGAAGAGATCTCGGGTGTGCAAGACTAAAATGTAGGTGTGCAAGTGGTGTTAATGTTAAAAATTGCCAACAATGTGCAACAAATACTAGCTGTGTAGGCATAAATATAGTTATTGAGTTATTCAAGTGTGCAAAGTTGTTGGGAAAAAAAAATCTTGTGTACACTTGCCATATGGCTGTCTTGGGGAAAATGAATGTTATTAATAAAGAACGAGGCAGTTCTATACAGAGATAAAATATTTTACTACAATTTAGATTGCACAAAATCAGTTTTCCCTCTTTCAAATAAATTTCCCAATTCCCTCTTGCATATCACAAAATACTTATTTCACATAACTAAACACAACAGCAACAAATTAGTGTCAAATATTTTTGTGATTATATCGCACCACGAACACAAATTGCGCAAATAGAACGCATTCAAGATATACGTGAAATACATGTTCAAATCCCTTTCATAACATGGTAGTCTTTCCGTACATGACTTCAATAATTTTACTATGATAACTGGTTAATCACTAGATATAAAATAACGTTAATTTGGACTGCATATTTTTCTGACTTTTATCATGTCGGGAAATGTCGCAAGTATTTGCACTGATTCATGTTTGCGTTCTAGCCCGATATATTCCTATTTCTGCATAAAACGGCCAAACTCACAAATTCTGATTATTCTAAGCATTGTAGTTTACCATGTATGCCTTGATTAAGGCACAGATACTTGGCGTGTAAGGCTAACCCAAAAAACACCCTATGGCTTCGCAGATAGTATTACAATTATTTATACGATCACTGTTCACTGTCAAAATTTGGCAAGCAACTCACACAAGCATAAAGCCATAGAAATTAGATTTAAATCTTCGCTAACCTGCTCTGTATGATTAACAATCTGATCCAGACTTGGATTTGCGTTTTCCATGCCGAACAAGACAGCTCGGGAGATTTATTTCCCGAGAGAAAAATTTCAAGGACTCAAATTCGCCGCCATATTTGAAATTCGAGCACACCGCGCGGAAACAAAGAACAATGGGGTCTGGTAACTTGCAGGCCCGAGCACTTGTTTACTTATTTTAAAGGCCATGTTCCTCCCTCCCCCACACACACACACACACGCACACACACACACACACACGGTGCAATTTTTCTTGCAACTTGCAATGCAATTCTACTCTTGAGAGATGTTAATTAGTGAAATCAGTGAAGAATTTTCGATATGTTGATCAGAAAACATTAGCGGAGTGTAACGAAGACTAGTATTTGGCAATTTTACATCTCTCAAGAGTAGAATTGCATTGCAAGTTGCAAGAAAAATTGCACCGTGTAACATGGCCTTAAGTTATTAACGTTATTCAGACATTCATTTCGTTATTTGTAGTCCACTAATCACTTCTCATCCTTATAGCAACCTCGCAAGCCAGGGTCTTCTACCTTAGCCAATTTAAAGTTGCAGTCCTGGCATAGAGCCATGTTATCTAAAAGTAGTCCCAGGGAAATTTTGAACAGTCATAGCCATAGGCCATAACCTGATTTTCTGCTTGCCTGGCATATACTTGTAAAAAGATAAAAAACATCAGTACACTGTCACTGTACATAGTTTACTCTGCCGACATATTTCATCCCAGTTCCCTCATTTTTCATCCATTAAAAATTAAGTATGTTATGGGCCGTTATGTAAATTTCGTTTCCAAGTTTCAAGAACCTGTTGTTTGACTACTACATTAATAGAGCCACTGAGCACTGGAACAATCTTTGACTTAGATAAGGTAAGCCACAGTCAGTGGCGGAAATCTTGGTGGGGCAGGGGGGGCGACCGCCCCCCACCTTCACGGAAAATGACGAATTTTCGGAAATTTTGACCTAAAAGAGGGCTAAAAACACCTTTTCGAGAGCAAATAGGGGGGTTTGTCGGAAATTTGAAAGTTTTGTCGGAAATTTTGGAGGCTTTGCCCCCCCCCACCGGAAAAAGTGAATTTCCGCCACTGGCCACAGTCATGGAAAACTGTATGTCTGAAATGCCACCAAGCAAGACACTTTCTAACTCCAAAGGCAAAGGTCTGCTGTCATTAGTTAGTTTCGCTTGAAACTATATTCATTGTTTATATATGTTATTTATATTGTGCATATGTTCCTGTCCTGTTTTGTACTTGTGCATTATGTGCATTGTACTTGTTAAACCAGGTCGTCAACGTAATTGGCTTACGCTGAGCTGGCGTTTCTGTGCCGTTTTGTACTACAGGGTGAGTAAAAAAAAAAACTGATACCTTCGCGGCTAATTTGAACAACAAAGGTGTCAGTTTTTTTTACTCACCCTGTAGTGTAAATTTTGTAAAAGGCAAAAGTTGGGTTTTTTTGTATAAATAAGTAAAGGAAGTGTTGGGTATGCCATCCTCACAATTTCCCTATCTGCGAAATTACGTTGCAAGTGGCTGAGACACGAACAAATCTAAAGAGTAAACGCAGCATCTTGTGTTTAAGAGTAAACGCAAAATCTTGTGTTTCTTTCGTTCATTAGGCTTCAAAACAATTGATAGGCTACTACTAAAGTATAAACTACCATCACTCAATTCCAATTATTGGTTTCCAAATTCAAGATTATTGCACTGCACTGCACTGCACTGCACTGCACTGCACTGCACTGCACTGCACTGCACTGCACTGCACTGCACTAAGCTAACTTTTCTGTGAGATAGTATAATAACATGTGGATTGTGATAATATATATTCCCCAGGGCTTTGGTCGTAAGGCAGCATTTGCCTTGCGATAGTAACTTCTAGTATATATTCTATAAAAATATAATCTATAAAACAATATCAAGTTGTCCTAATTCACGGCATTCTATTTACGATATCCGTTGTATTCATTAGCCATGTTGAGCTGTCAATTAAGTCGGCTAGGATAATATCCTAATCCATCAAGACCATCAACATACACATGTGTATATCCATTTCCAGATAACTCGCAATTTGAGCGACTTGGGGTAAGTTGATTAAGTACAGAAAATGTATCGGTTGCAATTTTAACACACTATCATGTCCAGAATTAACGAACGCGCATTACACAACAACATGTCCACAAGTACATCTCATTTCACAAAAATTGTGTAATTCAATACCAGTTCAGCCTGTTTCCGCTATTCCCCTGTCTCTTCAGGATATTCTATATATTCTGGGTGAATTTCTCTCTTAACGATTTACTGTATTTCTCTTTTACCTCTATAGTACTTCTCTTTATCATTTTATGATTGAAGTTCTCTTGAAGTAATTCCAGTTCATTCAGTGCAAATACAATTTCAACCTTTTCCCTATGTTCCTCTTTTCAGTATTCTATATTCCTCTCTTTAATATAGTTGCATGTACTACTCTTTTTTACCACTTCATTCCCCCACTCATGATCTAAGTTCCGCTTCAAGTAAATCTTGCAATTCCAATGCATTCAATACCAGTTCAGCCTGTTTATTGTATTCACCATTACAGTCATTTGGAAACCTGGTATGGAGAACATTTGTAGCTCCCAAAATGGCAGTGCCCTGCATGGAACATTCAACGACTGAGACTGCCATCACAGCATCTTGTACAGTCACTGTATTTCGAAACATCAATCTTGCGTGAGCTTGAGCCAAACGAATCAAACTCTCTAAAAGTCTTATTGTAGTACGAGCAGAATTGCGAGTATCAGCCCTCCTCTGGCATTGGTAGTATTTGCTGAGAATCCTGCATAAATTCAGAAAAAATAATTTTATACAGTATAAAACTCTGCATATGAAAGAAGCAGTGGATAAAGCAGCCACCTCGGCAGTCATATCTATAGGTAAAGGTATCGAAAAAACAATCTAGTTGCAGCTAATTTGTTCACCGATCACCCTAACCCTGACCCTATAGAGATGCCTGCGGAAGAGGCTATAAAAAACCTTATACTGTAACTTTTGTACAGTAGTAGGTGAAGTGGAAAGGAGTTCAAAGGGCAGTTACAAGCTGCTACAAACCCAATTTAATCTTAAGTGCATATCTAAAAACAAATTGTATACTATCGAGATACATTTACCCGCGCGCTGGTTTACCAAATCCGCAAAATCAATTAACGGTGTAAATTTAAAACAAGAAAACAATACTTGTTTTCGGATTAAAAAAATTAAAGCGGTTAATAATGCACACTGTCAGATTAGTATAGTATGTAATATACATTTTATATAATAACCATTTGTAGTGTAACAAAATGTAGCAAAAATAGTGGTCCTTTTGTTCGGGTTTTTACTGTATCGCAGTCTCCAGCATAAAACATTTTGCACGCATCTTTTCTTTGACTATTAAATGTATGTCTGGACGTTCAGAGCCTACAGTATTTAATGTCCTTGTAATCTTTGCCCAGATAATATTATACAGCAGCATCTGCCTCGTACCCAGGTGTTTTTGTAAAAAAACAGCGATGCGCGTATGACAAGTTTACATGATGTAGTAGTGGCGAGAGAAGGGCAAAGGGGCTGATGGGAAGAGTGCACTTGCACCCTTCCCAACAGCTCCTCCGCGCGTCGCCTGCCTGCCTGAATGCTTCATGTATTATATTTAAAGCACCTGGGTACGAGGCAGCAGAAGCATTACAAATAGCTCTCTTCGTAGGAAAGGCAAGGCAAGCGCCAGATGATTCCGAAATTTAACAAAATTTTAATTCTTCATAATATTTACCTATTACTCTCAGGTGTGAGTGATGGTGTTAACGTCTTAACCAGACAGAAATACGCCTGAAGTTTTTCGATACTCCATAGATGAGAATTACTTGTATCTCTTTGGCCAATTTTCTTATTCTGAAGAATAAAGCTGGAAACAACCCTGAAATTAAATTAATAAATCTTCGTCAAGATATGTTGTGTAGCTAACAGGGTTCCCAATAGAAATCGGTAATATTTCCTAGAGAAATGACATGGGGAAAGAAATGTCGTGGAAAACGTTTCCTAGTTTTCTATTTCTCCGAAACCACTCTCCAAAATGGCTGGAAATGCCATTTCAAATGGTCTTAATGGAAAACGCCATCAGAACTCCCTCCCCCTTGGTGAAGTGACAGCTGTAGTGGGTTTCGGAGGATAGCGGAGGTGAAGAGGTTTGGTGAGTGGTACCTTCAGCATTACGTAGCCGCCTACCTAACATGAGTAAAAAACAAAGAAAATATTTTTATTCACTGAATGGTTTTTGCACATTCAATTTTTTGGCACTGAATTACATTTTGTATTTTGATAAAATTTGCACCTCTCACACTCAAGAATCAAAACGGTCAATTACTATCATATATTGTTTTCTTATTCCTAGGCGTTTCTTTTGTTAAATAGCAAAGGTAAGGAAACCTCCATCTCAGCTTGTACAAGTTTACCTATCCCAGTCTTGACTGTAAGTGTCTTGGAGTACAAGGACCAAATCAAAGCGACTTAACAAAGGACTTCCAATGGCTGTATTCACACTAAGACTTGCTTCTGGATCATACTTTCCCTTCGGATTACTTGCAGCAAGGATGGTCGTCCTTGAGTTCAATTTACAAACTATCCCAGCTTTTGCTACACTTATAGTTTGTTGTTCCATAGCCTCGTGAATACCTGGAAGATAGAAAGGTAATTTAGCTAGTAAAGTACTCGCGCTGATCATGTTATTTCAGTAATCGCTTATGATTGCGGTGATTGCGTTTGTTTGGGCACCGCATCGTAGGCTAGAATTATGAAACCCTCTGCATACTGTGTTGCCAGCTACCCATCTCAAATACAGAATTCCTGTGAACGATATTCTTCACTTTAAACGGCTCACATGAATGCATTAAAATACTTACTTATTCGGTCATGCTCCCTTATGCAACTGAACTCGTCAATACAACACAGTCCTCCATCAGCAAGTACTAATGCTCCAGCCTCAAGCTGCCATTCAGGACCATCTTTCAATGCAGTCACTGTAAGACCAGCACTTGTTGAACCAATACCAGTCGTTAATACAGACCTTGGTACAATCTTTGCTGCGTACTTTAAGAACTGTGATTTAGCCGTACCTGTAATAACGCGTCAGTTATCCTAAGTTGATAATCTTTTTATAGAAAGGTAACGGCTCTTTTCCACTCATCGCAAAAACCAACTCGCACGCTCACTGCGAGTGCTTACATCGAATTAAAATGAACTGTCTAGCATTGCGATTGGATGAAGGTACACTCGACTCGCAACGATTTGGTTTCTGCGATGAGTGGAAAACAGGCTTAATGCACCAGACGTTTTTGTCAACATGGATGTAACAGTCGAACCATGGATAGTTAAAAAATGGATAGTATTTTTATGATCCATGGTCGAACTATGGAATTCGAACCGTTAATTTCATACGTCATTCATTATCTTTGGAGTTTCACGTTTTTGAGCGCGTATAGCTGATGCACTACGTGACTAGACATGAGGCTGCCAGAGGTGCCCTTAGAAAGCCTTCGATTCGATAGTCAGCTTGAGCTGCGTCCTTCCCAATTTAGCTTAGCTCTCAGCTGCAAGTATACGGATGATTAGTATTGTATACCCTCAGTTACAAGCTGCATGTACAGTATAAAAGTGTGGGTTGTACAGCAAATATACGCTGTGTAAAATATCAATACTGCTACTATATGCTCTCTTACCAGGATCACCAACAAGCAAAAGATGAGATTCACCGCGAACCTTGGTTCCAGTTTTATCAACCCTCCTTACTCCCCCAATTAAGACAAGTGTAACTGCTAATTTCACGACGTAACAACCAAATATCTGTGGACACATTGATGCAATGATATGGTTACGACCTTCCAAAGGATTGTCTCTGTGTTCCTGCCAAAAATTCTCAAACTCAGTTCTTAGTTCATCTGTTACAATGGTTCTACCATTTTGTTCGTTGTGGACATTGACATGGTTAGCTTGAACGACCATTTCCAAGTCACATTTCGTCTAAAATTAGGAAAAAGTATGCGACACATTTATGTAACTGTACTTTTTGTTTGAGTAGTTGATGTGATAGTGATAGTGATAGTGATACTAAATTGACGAATTTTGACACCAATAAGCCGAATAAGGCGATGTTGCATGGAATGACTTTCAACGACCACGGCCAGCTGAGAATTTAAGAAAAGTTTAAAAAGAAATAAATTCCGAATAATAATGTCATCTTGAAATTCCAGATTTGAATTAATACAATAGAACGTTTAAAAATATGAAATTATTTCAAAGTCACTTTATTTCAAAGTCATCGTCATCTGTATACACTGTAAATGTTCAATGATGCGTTCCATGACCCATACGCAATTTATATAATAAATATATAACTTCGACAGTCAAAAACAAATAGATCTATACACTATTGCACTGTCCTCCACACAGGCCTGTCAGCTAGTGTTGGGGGTTTCAAACATATCGACTGTATCGCTGAGGCCATGTTATTTTCAAAACAGCTAACTTGTGCACGTGCAGAACCGCACATTATTTGGCATAGGCTTTTCTTTTCATTTTTCGCCCTCTTCCATTTTGCATCCCTTAATTCCCTAATGTGTACCACTAATAAGACTTATTATTAGCATGACAAAATTACTGGATGCTGATTGGTTGAGAGGAGTACAATTATTTCATTAATTGTATTGCAGTACAATTAATGATTTTCTCAAAACAAACAAAATGGCGGAAAGGTATTTTAAACACAAATTTGAAATGAAATTACCGCAGAGGAACTAGATGAAAATACGAACAAAAGCACCAAATTTTGCTTTAACAAAAGAAGTAAATGAAATGCGAACAAAAGCACCAAAATTTGGTTGAAAGTCTGGTAGGACTGGGCTTTGGCGAGATAATATAATGTTGACATTGATAAGTATCCAATTTTGTCATGCTAATAATAAACAAGTACGGCGGCTCGTCCAATTTTGGCAAAATTTCCAAACATCACTCGTATTATTAATCGCTAATTGTACTCGCCATCGCATGATTACCTATACTAATAGTACTAAGAATGTTTGAAAAGCCTAAATAATAAGTCTCTACGGAGGAGCGTGATACTAACATCAATTTTCACTGACTTCCACCTTCTCATTACGATACCACTTATAGTGACGTCATCGCCAGGTTTACAACTGTCCACAAGATCATCTTCAAGCACGACCCACATGCATCTTGGGATAGTTCCAATGGCAAGGTTTTGAATCAGTTCCTGGACTTTGATTTCCTGATAGTCACGACAACTTTCGGGTTTCGCTTCTACAACACAAATAAGAGTATGCATCATTCGAAATTGATCTGACCATGAAATAGAGATTATCGTCTGTGGACTACAATGCACGATAAAGGTTCTCGATAATAATAATTGTAAATCTAATTATTGTGGCGTTTGAACTCAGATGATTTTATATTACATTTCTCTGAGTGGCTCCACACTGGGCAAGCTGAAAAATTGCTTGACTGCAGTGGGGATCTAACATATGATCTTTGGTTCAAGTCGGTTCGAAAAGGTTTTGACGTAACCGTTGCAATGCTGTCGCCATGTTCCTATACAGTGCGCTTATGAGAGGCATTCACCCCCCTGAAACTATTAAAAAATTGTGGATGTTCAGGGGGGGTGTATGTCTTTTATAAGCGCACTGGTTAGGAACATGGCAAGCGCATTTTGATGACAAATCATGGCGTGACGGCGGTTACGCTTTTTTGGCCGAGTCGGCTTTCTGTGCACAAAGATTGTTTAAAATGTGTTAAATTTTTGTACAGTAAGCTATTATGTTACTCTTTCTATTTCCGAACCTGCGCTCGTGGCTTTCGTACATTTGAAACCCGCCTGATTTGAAACATTGCCAAAAATCTAGGGTCTATTGAGGAGGGAGGAATAAATTAATTTGGTGTCTCGAGACTAGACATTGACTTGCAATGTCATTTACATGCCATGTTTATCAAGATGGGGCGTGTATTTGTGAAGGTGCACCGACGGATTGTTTAATTTATTAAACTTCGCCAATTACATCTTTCACACTATATTTGCATTTTACATTTACAAAACAGTCACATGGCAGGGAACACGTAACAGCTTTCGCCAATAATAGCGGCCCTTCACATAATTCTTATTACGATACAAAGAAATATTACTCAAGACAGTTTAATTAAATAAATTAACTAAAAACAACACAACTTTGAACTGGACACACTACGACATTTATTACAAGACAAACATATAGATTTAAATGCTCGTGGATCTTCTGCGTCGAAAGTATTTTCTAATGCCGATTTGTAATAACTGCGCAGACCGTTTGTAAATTCATTCAAGGAAGTCGATGTTCTTGTCAAGTTCCTTGGCAGAATACTCCACACTCTGGTCGATTTGGTCAAATACGACTTCTGAAATGTTGTTGTTTTACATTTTGTCGTTTCCGAAACACATGCAGATGCAATCCGAATCAGCTGACCTTGTTACCTTCTCTTGGTTCCGAAGCTTTGGAAGTCTGCACTCATACTTGATAAGCCATGAGTGAGTTTGAAGAAAACATCATATCAAGAAACTCATGCCAATAACAGAGAGGAATCATAATACCCAACATCTCAACAGTCAGATCCAGGATGAATTTAGTAGCTCGTCTTTGCACTTTTTCCGTACGCTTGATTAAACTCAATTGATTGAGGTAATGAAGAGCCCAAACGTGAGAACCATAGCACAGTTGAGATTGGAGTTGACAACGGACAAGAGTCAAATATAGAGTACGACGAACCGAGATTGTTTTTATGTCTAACATTGATCGTCTTACATACCCTAGTATCTTGGTTGCTTTCGTGCATTGGCATTCTATACTTGCTTCGACCACGTTAGATTTGATGACGTCCACATTCCTAAGTCACGCTCATGATCTGTGCTTTCCAAAATAGTCTCACGTAGTTTGTAATGGTATAGTCTATTTTCTTATATTTTCTTGTTATTCTCAAAACTTTGCATTTGTCAACGTTTAGAACAAGCTTTACATCAGTTGTGCTGAAAGTTCTTAACATCTTCCTGCAGCGACACTGTGTCGGAGATGGTTTATCGTTTTATAGATCTTTGTGTTGTCGGCGAATGTTGCGATTTTACTGTTGACCACGGCTTTTGACAGATGATTTTCACATAAACAGAAACAGCAATGGACCAAGAATAGACCCTTGTGGTACACTTGATGTAACTGCATGGTAATGGCTGAATGGCCACAAAAAACAAAATTTGAAGTCAAGTACATGCACTCTTTCATCCGACAATGAAAACATAAACTTAAAGACGACCAGTTTTTTGTGGCAAGGGAACTTGCCCAATCGGGCAAGCAAGATGAAACGTTTACTTGCCCGTCAATCGTCATGATATTCACTTGCCCTGGGCAAGCGGGCAAGTGTTACGTTACACCTCTGCTTCATGATGTTTCCTCTAAAACCAAATTCGTGAAGTCGTTGTAGAAGGAGGGAATGGCTTACTTTATCAAATACCTTTGACATATCTACGTAAAGTACATCGATTTGCTTACCATGCACTATCTAACTGACGACCGATTTCTTCGAATACTTCAATACGTTGCGTCATGCATGATCGCCCCGGCACAAACCCATGTTGACTTGGGTTAATTTGGAAAACATGATGTTTAATATTGCAGGCCTTGTGATTTCTACAGTGATGTATGATTTTATTACGTATCATTAATAAAATATTGCACTTTGGCAGCTGCTAGAAAGTATAAGTTTCTTGGTATAAGTTTCTAGTTGTCGCAAGAGCGTTTTCTATCTAAGTTGGTAATTCTGAATCCTGTGTCAACTCATCTAAGGGACGGACCATTAGAAAAGTGATGGGGGGGGTGGGGCAAAACCAAAAAAAAAATTTATTCCCAGAAAAAAATGAAAAAAAAAAAAATCTTTCAAGGCATAGTGCAAAAAAAAAAAATTCCTTGCTTAGAAGATAGGCCAAGTGGTGTACTGGAGGGAGGGCTCAGGGGAGCTGAGCCCCCTTGTTGAAATTTCATGTTGACTTGGGGGGCTGCACGTTGGTCAAATTTAGCAAAATTTCTCCCACTCGTGCGGGTTCGTATTGACAGCGGACATCTTACAGAAAGTGGCCAGTTCTTTGAAAAATGCAAAAGTTTCAATTTTACACCGCAAGTCCACTGACAATATGAGCCTGCGATCCTGGGAGAAAATTTGCTGAATGTGACCAGCGTGCTGAGCCCCCCTATATATTATGGCACGTTGCATAATTGATAATCTTAACAACGTGCGAAAACACACACAAAAAAATACCAGTAAACGAGAATGTTCTTTAGAATTGCATCTCATTTTCACTCATCATTTAACACAATGATTTTTGTAATCTTTATATCGCCATTTTTGTAATCTTTATATCATTTAGTACCACTAAATTGTAAATTTCGACATACTAAGACGCTGTTTTCTGACCATCACTCATCAGAATTCTGTCAAATCTTCCCCAAAGTCCAGGAAATGGCATTTCAGAGACTCTAAATTTAAAAATTTCCTCGGGCCTTCGGCCCTCGCTTCGGCTTGTTTTTAATAAGAATAATGTCAAATGTTTGTCCCAGAACTACTAGAATAAACCCCAACAAAATTTAGAATTTCTAAAATATCTTATTGTACCTCCCCTCCCCTCCCGCCAATTCAGGGCACTTTGGAGAGCCCCCCTTGTTAACATTCCAGGACTACACCACTAATAGGCCTATAAATTTCACTTAAAGGGCCCTACAGTCATTTTTTAGTCGAAAGCCACCTTAAGTAGGGGACTCCACGGAGATTCGTTTGGCTGTATCTTACATGCAGTATCCATGAGTATGAGTACTTTCGCACACAGAAAACGCATGCATACTGTGGTGCGCATGTCAAGTAGCGACAATAACAAAAAATGTAAACAATACTTACTTGACTAAAAAATTACTGTAGGGCCCTTTAAAAAAAAAATATTTCCAACCATCAAGTGAGAAAAAAAAAAAATTCTTCTATAGGTGTACAAAAAAAAAATATATTGCCTCTTAGAAAATCCCCACCCCCCCCATCACTTTTCTAATGGTCCGTCCCTAACTCAGAAAAACTAAAATGCACTGCCTTCAAGTCCCCCCCCCCTGAGTTAGCCTTCCAGTTTATTTATAATTCAATGCAGTCACCCCCCTCCCCCCCCGCCCCCGACATTAAATTTCAAAATGGCGGCAACAATTTATTTTGAGACAAACATGAAAATAAACTCTTTTTATTTGCCCGAGAGAGGGATTGTGTGGTTAAATTTGTGTTTAAAACTTTCAACGTCAGTACGCGTATTGGAAAAGTGAGTTCATCACACTTAGTTTGCAATATTTTACGAATTTTTCTCTTTTTCGATCGTCGTAGGGGTGAAAAACTATAGGCGAAATGAAAATGCCACTTTGCTGAGGTATATTTGAAGTCATTTTCTACAATGTACGATGTGTTTTCTTGCACTTTCGACGATGTCTGATATTTATTGACAAATTATGTGCATAATTTATAGTTTTCTTTGCATATATATTAACTAGAAGTAGAAGACAACTAGATAAGTTAGTTTTGTTTACAAATTTTACATTGTATGCATGAATGTATACATAGTATTTGTAAATATTAAGTTAATTCATCTATTTATACAAAGACTCTCTGATAAAAATCTTGTAACAGGAAATGTGAGTTTCAGAAACTGTGTCTCAGACAAAAATTATTCTAAAATTAAATACCTCACCTAGTCTACAAAGTCTACAAACAGCAAATTACAAAAATATATAATTTGGGTATATTGGACAGGTTTCCTCTAATATTAGTATAGACTACATGTGTAGGATATTAGCACACTGACTAAATGGAATTCAATATTTAATATTCTATAAAATCTGTTTTGTTTACACAAGTCTCACAAACTATGCAATATATTCCTGACTGGAAAGTTTGCAAAGGGTGCAGCTAATTTTTGTTTTAATAGGTAAAATAGTATTATGCGCAAACTACAAACTTTCCAGACTGCGGCCAATATGAGACTACTATAGTCGAACCTCCATTAAGCAGCCCTCCTTTACGAATCATGCTTAATATTTTGCTTTATACACATATTAAGCACACATAAATATAATGTTCAACACATGTCGACACCAACATGTCAATGTAAGTTTTTGTATCAGTGTTCGTTAACACTTCTTGATCTTTTCAGTCTACCTATTACGGTAATCAGTGATTCATGATTGAATAAATAGACATTGGATCCCCCCCAGTCTACTTTATGGCCACTTCATTGAGCATTGAGGTTGGATTGTATTTTTTTTATACTATTTAATTTTGTTAATGTTTAACCCATTAAGGGCCAGCACTCCCCCCTTGACAAGTAAAATTGTCTGGCGTTAGACAGAGTGAAACAATAAAGTAGGGCGCATCGGGCCACAATGCGACTCAATGGGTTATATGTAAAGTAGTATTAGTATATAACAACAACAGGGAGTTGCACATTTGCATGATAACTCTTGTTGCACGTTAAAGTCATTACCAAGTGAGTAGTTAGACAGATTTATACAACAAATTAGGCTTTTTCAATAATTATGTCATGTATGCCGGTTTAGCCTGGGCAACTCGCTTTCATGTATCAGGACAAAATGTGATTGGATCACTATTCATGGGAATTTATTGTTTGTAGGTGAGATATTTTAATAAATATTCTAGAATAATTTTGTCTGAGACACTCAGACGTGTATTTTCTGAAACTCACATTTCCTGTTACAAGATTTTTATCAGAGAATCTTTGTATAAGTAGATGAATTAACTTAATATTTACAAATTCTATGTATACATTCCAGTGGCGGCGGAACAGGGGGGGCTAGGGGGGCTAAAGCCCCCCCCCCCCAGAAGTAAAAGTGGGAGGCTAAGCCCCCCCAGATAATTTTGTTTTCTCTGGAAAAATTTAGATAATTAAGGAAAAATGTAGGTTATTTTTGGAAAATTTAGGTATAAGGGGAAAAATTTGGGATATTTTGTGTAAAAATCGAGTATGTCCGGAAAAATTTTTTGTTATAGGTCCGGAAAAATTTTTTTCATCCCTTTTCTTGTATATGTCCGGAAAAATTTTTCTAATTGTCAGGGTTAGGTTGGGGTTAGGGTTAGGTTGGGGTTAGGGTTAGGTTGGGGTTAGGGTTAGGTTTAGTATTAGGGTTAGGGTTTAGTTTTGCGTTAGGATAGTTTTTTCTACGTTATAAAAACGGAAACCTTATTTTGAAGTATACTATCTAGCAATCACCTTGTCATTTCGCCTATAGTTTTTCACTCCTACGACGATCGAAAAAGGGAAAAAAATCGTAAAATATTGCAAACTAAGTGTGATAAACTCACTTTTCCAATACACGTACTGACGTTGAAAGTTTTAAACACAAATTTAGCCACACAATCCGTCTCTCGGGCAAATAAAAAGAGTTTATTTTCATGTTTGTTGTCTCAAAATAAAATTGTTGCCGCCATTTTGAAATTTAATGTCGGGGGGGGTGACTGCCTCTAGTCACTTGCTAAGCTATGCGCAGTACGGCATGCGCAGTGACGAAGCCCTTACGCTTTTTTGACTGAAGTCGGACATCTGGTCCTCTTAATCTGTGCTATGGTCGCACAGGTTCGATTGCTACCAGAGGAGCAATAATAGCATTTTTCGCAAATGCCCCTGGGTTATAAGTTTACACTCGACATTTTGACGACCAAGAGCGAGCGTTGTAACTCTCATCCTCGTGATTTAATAAGAATTATTTTGTTTTCAGATCAATGCTGGTCAGGGGATACAACGCTGTTTTACAGAAATCCAAAATCAAATGGTTGTCTACAACTTGATATGAACTCTTGTAATTCTAACAGCACATCTCCATGTGCCGGAAACTCGACGTCAGTATTTGTCTACCGTTTGTAGAATGTATATACACTTCTACTATATATAGCTAGGCTGGCCAGAAGTGGATTAAAATAATCAGGTTTTCAAATCAAAGCTTAAAAATTAATTGCTTCATGCCCTGGTTAATTACCGTATGCTCCGAGGTACGGGTGGACGTTTTAACTGCATGAATGGGTTATTATTCTGGCAGATTTTTACTCTGTATTTATTTCATTTACAGATAACTTTAGTCAAAATATTCGGTTATGCATGCAGACATCAAAATAGACCTTCCCAACTAAATAAATATATACCAGTAAACGTTGTCGTTGTACTTAATACAAATTAACAGCGAGCTTTCGCAAAGCTTTGTGAAACCGACTTCACATTTTGATATAACTTTTGTTTGATATTGAGTTACTATACTTACCCAAATATATAATCCTTATATTTCGTAAAATAAAAAGTAATTGAAGAAAAAATAATCTTTGACTTTTGACTCGAGATGTTTAAACGGGTGGTATACAGGTGGACTGTATTTACATTTCTCAATCGGACAATGCTTTGAAATAAATTCAGTGATTGTTATAATCATATTTCGTAGCAAGGAACTTAAAATGAACGAAAGATTTTTCTTATTTGGTTTTTTCTTATGGTCCATTAAGACGACAGATGCTGCAGTACCTGGTAGGTGTTGAAAATTGTTGTTATTTGTCATGAAATGTGGAGTAAAGACATATTGTTTTGACTTGATCTCCGCCATGTTTATAAAGATTTAAAATCACACAAGAGATCTCTTGTGATGTAGTTATCAGTGAATAACCTTGAGTAATAAACACAACAGTTTAGATGCGCATGCAATGATATATTCGTATTGAGAAAACGTCTGAAATTTCGACCTGCGCTTGCTGTGAATACATGTCAATAAAGATTTGCTGAGAAGTTCATAAAAAATGTTAACGAGTTCCAAATGAAGACGTTTTATCTCAACCTTATTAAAGGTCTAATATACTAGTTAAGACTGAAGGCCAAATTTCTGTAGTAAATTACGTACATCACTGTCATCAGTTAGAACCAATGATAAGAATAAATGAAGAATTTATAAACATTATAATAAGTTAATAGTTCCTCATACAAGCGGGCAGACGGATAATGACAAATTAATTAAACAGATGTAACATTGCATGTTATTTACCAAGCTCTAATACAACTACATTTTGATTATTGTAATATCGTGTGGGGAAATTGTGGGAAAACTTTATCTAACAAACTTCAAAAACTTCAAAACCGTGCAATGCGGGTGTTGACCTTTTCGGTTTTTCCAACTTTGACGCCGATGCCAATAGCTTATTGGAAAAGCTAGGGTGGGATGATCTAAACCAACGACGCCAATTTCAAAAGGTGTTGATGGTTTTCAAATCTTTAAATAACCTTGCACCCGAATATCTATGTTCTAAATTTACTAATAGCAATAATGTAACTCCTTATATACTTCGAGACTCCGTGAACAAACTTGCTGCTCCTTTACCCCGCACCAATTATCTTAAAAATAACTTTAGCTATAGTGGTGCAGTGTGATGGAACAGCTTACCTAGCAATCAGTAAGACAAGCGCCAAGCGGAATCTCTTATTGAATTTCGACAATTGTTGAAACATCATATTCGATAGCCACGGCATTCATGGAAAACAGGTATAAATATTAATGTAACACAGGCTTGAAAATTTTTTTTAAACTTATTAATGTAGATATAACTATTTTTTGTAAACCTGATGAAGCTACCGTGCTTAAATAAAGATTTGACTGACTGACATATACAGTAGGCAGCAGCAGTGAATATGTCAACAGTTCACAGGGCCTTTTAACATATAGACTGGGGGAACATGTCCCCCCAGCCCTCTTACTGGCCTCTCCGGTCGGCAAGTTTGTCCCCCCCCCCCCAGTGCAAGGTTCCTAAGAACTACCTGTACAAGGTGGTCAACCAGCAATTATATATCAAAGTGTATGAGAAAATGATGTTAAATTGTTAACATTTCTGAACTTGACCATTATCTGCAGGCCCGTCACTAGCTATGAGTCAACCGAGTCAGTTGACTCGGTAGGAATTTGAGGACTGAAATTTAAACATCGCCAGAACCTAAACCATGGCTTAATTTGCTCGTGGAAAAAGGTATGAAATGGCATTAATTTTAGGACGAAATTCTAGTTTAGTTTTTCCGCACAAAGATACTCCAAAGAGACCACCCTATCTTGCTCTTCAGTGACACTGAGAAGACTGAAGACAAATGTGTCGATGTCAAATACCCCAATACATGTAATACAGTACTGTAGAATTTGAAGTGTGGTGAATGATAATACTATTCCACGCACATTTTCATTACCGCATCATCACATCATGTTGCCTTATTGGGACTGGATTACATTTGGGAGACTGTAAAATTGCAGTGATTGTGGGCGACTGTTTATAAGGTTAATTTCTTGTTGGAACACACCTCAAAATGCTGCAAATAGCTAATCAGGAAATCCAAAATTTTCTGGGGGATGCCCCAGACCCCTCTAGATAGCTCGTACCTTCGTAGCTGCAGTGATATACAGACTTGCCGACTGGAACTTCTCCAGGTCCCCCGCGAAATATGCCCCCCCCCCAGTTACACATCCTTAAAAGAGGCCCTGACAGTTCACCTAACCGTTACTCCTTCATATTTTATTGCCTAAATTTCATTGGATTCCTGTAACATTAGCTGGGCTCTTAATGTTAGTTTTGGACTTTAGTGCCTAAAATATATAGCTCCACAGAAGTGAAAGTGGAGGGGGGGGCTATACACCAACCGCAAAAAATCCCGATCGGAGTAAGACAGTAATATAAGATTCTTGCATGATCGCTGCCCAAAAGGCAAAGTGAACAAAATTACCGTCATTGTGCATGTGGTCATTGAAATATTCCCTAAGTGAATTTAAACTGGGGTCTTCAACACCCATAACAATTTTCACAGGGAGCTAACCCGCCCAAAAACGAAATCAAGTCATATCTTGTTAAAAAAGCGCTTTTTTACCGTCTAAATTCTTCAACTTGGTGCCTACAGGAAATGGCATATCCGATTATTTCATTACTGTTTGGTCAACGACACCCAAATGTTGGCGGTGCCCTGAATGGTGAATGTAGAGATTTTTATCACATATACACATATTAATTTGTACAGGCCGATGGTGAATGTAGAGATTGGTGAACGATGAATGTGAGAATGTGAAGTGTAGAATGTGAGAATGTAGTGATTTTTATCATGTATAGTTGTTTTCTATTTATATTCAGTGCTTTCGTGTACATTTCAGCACCAAAGCAAGCATATGGTATCTGCATTGATATAACACTGTGCCAACAACCACCCTACCATTCACTCTGTTCTCAAGGTTTGCCTATATGCCCCTCTCCCACAGTACACCCTACAACAAAACCTATACCCCCAGGTCCTCCAGGTCCAGTCCCAACTATCAAAACGCACGCAGGCACTACACCCCTACCCACCACAACAATCAACAAACTCATCACCACACCAGGAGTCAATACAAAAACCAATACGCCACTAAGTGTCACAAAGACTCCGTCCAAGCCAACAACCGCGATTGTAAAAAGTACACACATAGCTCTACCAGGAAAACAAGTGAATGTCTTAACTATACAGAATAACTTTAAAATTTCGCTTGGTGGAAAGAAATCCAATATCAGACAACCAGGAACTTCGTGAAGAACTTCTTTGATATGACATGGTCGCATAGCAACCAGTCTGATATGTGTAGAAAGAATAGAATACTGAATACAATACAAACATTTTAAACATTTTGTAAAAGTGGGTGCGTGCAGTTTCCAGTGAGGAAATATTCACATTATGCAATTCAGGACTTGGTCATTACCATTATATGCATACTATTCTGTCCTCATCCCACCCAACAACGCAGTCAAACGTAAAGCACATGCGCGAGTACACAGAAATGTGGGGGAAATGTCTGTCAAAATAATAGGAGTTTATACGGGAAAGGAAAAGCGTTTACTATAAGGAAACAGCTGAAGCTATAGGTAATGTGCAACCACTCCCATGAGATTCAAAGGACAAAGAAATTTTCGCCATGTTGGATGAAATTTGCATTGCACAAAAGCAAAATCGTTTGTCAATGTCATCCAACATGGCGACGGTGACGTAACTTGGACATCACCTAGGTTTTTGCTAGAACTTCGTGAAAACAATACTATTTCCAGTCTTCCGATACCTACAAACAATATAAATCCGCGCGGACGTTTGACCGCGGTGTTTCATTAGCCCTAGTTAGTTTGCAAGATTTCCCACATGTTTTCATCAACACTCAATGACAATGTAACGGACCATTTGCAGAACTATGTATTGAGAATATAATGATACAAAACGAGGTTTCATACTATAATTCCATTAAGATCGGGTCTCTTACTATAATTCAATTGTAAACTGGTGTGGCATGATATAAGCGTATTATGAGTGTCATAGATGTATTATTATGACTGAAACATTAAATATATACATGAGGTCATTAAAAGAAGTTTAGGTTGATTTAAATGACACATGACACAGTCTTTGAATTACAATCTGTAGGAGCTTTGCAGCCCTTTGCTAACTCTAAGTCATCGGACATTTTGTCAGACGGCCCTGTAAAAGATATTTTAAGGCCTGCCGTGATTTATTCTTATGAGATGTCATTTCAAAATTCAAATTCTCCAATTCGTACTGGACTAGATTTCAAGTCCTCGCATTTTAATTCAGTCGCGACCAGTGAACTCTAATAAGTCTTATTAGAGTTCACTGGTCGCGGCTTCGCCTAGGATTTGATCAAATTGCGCGAACTTGAAATCTAGCCCAGTCCTCATAGTTGGATTTGAAATATTACGTAACTGTTCAATAAAATAATAAAAGAAAAAAACATTAGCGAATATAAACTGGTGTTTACTTTATCATCAAAAATACTACATCAATTAATTACATCACTATAGTTTAAATACTTAAATTACGTCAGTCAAGACATCTTAAAAAGGGTCATGTAACAGTTTCATCACTTGGACAATGTACCATCGTTTGGAAAATTGTACTCCACGTGACATATGACGTTGCTAAACAAAATACTGTATGTTCCTGCATTTGCTCATTTTAAATTCCTAGAATGTTACAAGGGTTCAAGGAAACGTTTAGTTCGCCGTAAAGCGTTCATTTGGGACTAGATTTCAAATCGTTTCTTCCCCGACGTTTGTCAATCAAAGTTTTTGTTTTGCTCACAAATTCAACGTTTGTGGGTGTGGTATAAATTAAACGAATTATTTTGCATACAAAACTTTTAGTTTGGACCTCGAAAGTACACTTTCATTTTAAAAGTAGCTGTGTAATTACTCCCTTATCTGCATTCTTGTATACCTGTAATACTGGAGCCATTTTGCCACAACAGTTTCATGTCATGCCACGCCCACAAATGTTTGAACAAAACAAGTTTTGATTCACAAAATTCGCGGGAGAAACGTTTCGAAACATAGTTTCAAATGCACGCTTCACGGAAGCTCGCAAAAATGGTATATTCAGTGGCGGAAATTTCGATGGAGCGGGGGACCCTACCTTCGCGGAGAATGGCGAATTTTCGGAAATTTTGACCTAAAAGAGGGCTAAAAACAGCCTTTTCGAGGGCAAATGGGGGGGGGGGGGTTGTCGGAAACTTGAAAGTTTTGTCGGAACTTTACGAAGCTTTGCCTCTCCCCGACCGTAAAAGTGAATTTCCGCCTCTGGGTATATTAGAATGTTTTCACAACAATGTTTCCTAGTTTCCCAGAAATTTAATATTTCAACTCAAAACTAATAAAACATGCAGATCCTGTTACACAGCTCTTCTACAACAGACACGAGCACATTTTCATGCTTGTACATTACACTACTAAACTAACAGCCTCTCAGCTTATCACGTGTGCATACAGTAGTAGATATATCTTGCGACGTACTTGCTGTTTTATCCACCGTTGGTAATTAATGCTCGAGAGATCCAGCCCTCGATTCAAGCTTTTAAAGCTATCTACCATCAAACTTAATGATAAAGGTTGCCCAATGGTGAGAGCAACTAAATATATTATTATAAGTAATAACATGACCAGAGGGAAATTAGCGATTAAATTTCCCGACGCCGAGGGAAAATCTTCCCGAGGCGAAGGGAAATTTAATCGCTAATTTCCCGACTAGTCATATGTTATTAGTTTGTAATATTATGATCGCCGAGGAAAACTCAAAAAAGTTTGCTGCAGAGATAAGTTTAGCTGTTTGATTTTGTATTTTTCAATCAAGTTGTTTATGAGTTTGACTATTGATTGAAATAAGTGTACCTTTGGGACATGCTTTGTTGTTGTGACACTTATGTAAATCACTGCATTGATTTTAAACTTAGTTTTCCCGAATATGGCTGCAACTGGAAGGTTCTATTTTGTGTCAGACCGGACAGTTGAAAATGTTCAAAAAGATAGAGTGCCAAAGAATACCATAAGGCACACTACGTGGAGTACAAATGTGTACAACGCGTGGGTTAAAGAGAGGAACGAGCAGTTTAAAGATTTTCAGGCAGAAAGAAACGAATTTCAGAGGATTCCAAATTTAGACTCTATTAATTTGGAAGAAATTAATTACTGGCTGAGCAAATTTGCTGTAGAAGTGAGGAAGAAAGATGGCAGCGATTACAGACACAAAGTACTGTATAGCTTGTTTTGTGGTATGAACCGTACGATCCAAGAAAGCAAGCCTGAAATAAGCTTGTTTACAACGCCACAATTAAAGCCATTTCAAAACGCGTTAGACGGGCGACTAAAAGAGCTTCAAGGAGCCACTGCTAGTCACGTAAATATAAACATAAATATAAACGGACGTTGATAGCATGAATTTTACAGTTTGTCTTGAGTTGGAGTTTGACGTTTAATTGTTTAGCAAAGTCATACTTGTGTACATTTAAAATTTAATATGTTGAATAAAATTGTTGAGTGTTTAGGTTTTCCGTTTGCATTAAATATGGAAGCGGGAAATTTAGTAAAAGACAAAGGATTTCTTTGTCTACTAATCATCCCGTGCATTTTTGATGAGGGAAGATTAGTAGACAAAGAAATCTTTAGTTTTTTACTAAATTTCCCGGGGAAATTTAGTAGACAAAGCGAAATATTCCCTGTTGCATGCGTAATGAGGAAAATACGGGATTTAAATTCCCTATGAGAACAATAGAAAACGAGGCGATCATGATATTACATGTGATAACACAAGACAAAACGATAATGATTTAATCATTATTCACTAATTCAGTCATTACTAATTATATTAAATTAAGCATACAAGACGTCATAGCTAGTCAACTAACATGCTGACGAAATTTCAAATTATTACTAACAAAATATGACTAACATAGATCGCTTTCAATAATGATCATCCCGGTTGGTTGAGCATCATCTTCCGCAGGTCAAGAAAGTTAAACCAATCTATTCACTCAATACATGGATATGTTTACTTGGAATAATCAAATGGATGCATGACAATATTTTGCTCGTCATAAAACACATTATACTGATATGATGAACGTTTACGTCTGTAGTAAACAATGATTACTATGATCAGAACCATACCAAGAGATAGACCAACTGCCAATCCAATAATCAAAGGCGTGTGTGATTTCTCTTTGTCTTCAGAACCTGGGGCTAGAAACGGTAAGAGGAATGTTACTGGACACTAAATTAAAGTAAATTTATTACTTTTTTATTTAATTATTCGCCTAAAAACAAAATTATTTTGACAATTTTAGAAAAATTCTGTTTGAGCCAAAATTTTCCAGATTACGTAAATGTGATTATTCGTAATATTTTTTTGGCTCAACAGCACTTTTTTTAAATTGTCAAAATAATTGAGTATACTAAAAGAAATCATTTGATGTAATAAAATTTGGGGGTCACTGATGCCGTTTTCGAGTTAAATTACTTAGTTAATTAAAAGCCAAAATTTCCGCTATCTTGAAACGTCGTTGTTGCGACGGATCTAAATCGTGAATTTTCCATTGTTTTTAAACTGTATTGAGCCACCTTAAATATCGTTTTGACTTCATTATTGCTTAATTTGTTTTAGCCCCCCACCCGTTCTAATTTTCTAAATAAAAATGTTCCTGTTCAATGGCAAAGCATTAAACATATTTTCTATTGCTCCAAATAGAAATCATGCATTTAGCAAATCTCGAAACAAATTCAAATTTCCAGACCAATATTAGTATACCCAAAACAATATTAACAACAAAGTTTGTACCTTGTGTTGTCTTCTCTCGGTGTAGCACAGATGACGTATTCATACCACTGACAGAACTGGACATAAAGCTTGAGGCATTTCGGTTTAGAATGTTAGACAGGCTACTTGATAGGGCAGTTCCACTACCCATTGACGTATACTGCATCGTGGCTGAAGGTTGTAACGTGATACTGCAGGCCAGTAAATTATTGCAACTTGCTTCAATTGTTACTGTGAATGATGAACGATTATATGGTGATAGAACAGAAGTTGGGAAAACAGTCGATGTTATACTTGACAAAGGAGGAGATGACATCATAGATTTCACAAGATGCGATGAATTTAGTGCAACTGCAGCTGAAATCGCAGTCTGCACTACTTGAGATGCTGAAGTGGGCTTCACTGTGATTACGGGTGAACTGGTTACATTGATGGAATGGGTTGAAGATATATTTGGAATGTATTGGACTGAAGACGGATGTGAGATAACCATGGTGGAACTATTTGGTTTCAGTTTCACATTGGATGAAGAGAGATTTGGTACAACAGTTGATGAACTAGTTTGATTAAGTTTCATTTTAGATGAAGTAGCACTTGGTGTAACATTTGGTGACCTCAACTTCACATTGGATGAAGAAAGATTTGGTACAGCAGTTGATGAACTAGTTTGATTAAGTTTCATTTTAGATGAAGTAGGACTTGGTGTAACATTTGATGACCTCAGCTTCACATTCGATGAACTAGACGTCATATTCACTTTAGATACAGAAGGAATTGGCAGACCATTTGGCGAACTAGTCAGACCTGGCTTTACTTTAGATATTGAAGATGATCTAGAAATATTATTACTGGGGGTTTCTAGTGCTGGTGAAACCAAAATGTGAATTGAATGGTTGTTATTTTGTACTGAAACTGACAGCTTTGAAGCTGTGGATGCCGTTACATTTCCAAGTAATATGTTGGGAGAACTAGATGTTATCACAATCAAAGATTGTGATATAGTTGTGCTTGTAACCTCTTGTGTAGTGGGCCAAGTGGATAATTGGCCAGAATCAGCTATTATATCAGAACTAGAAGTAAGCTGTTTAGAAGGTTGCACCATTATTGGATAACTGGATGAATATACTCCTGATTCGTTCAGAGTCAGAGATGGCATTGGTACAGTACCAGTGCTGCTAAAATTATTTCTTGGATTTCCTGCTGTATTTAAAACAGGCTGACTTGATTTTAGGGATGTTGTTGTCCGACCAATAAATGATTGAATTGGTGACTTGACTTCTGAAGTTATCAGTGATGGCTGTAAATGTATGTTGGATGAGGGTTGGCTCATTTTCCCAGAAGGTGAAGCTGCAAGGTGTGATTGGGTAGAGTTGCTAGGTACGGCTGCATCTAGCTGCCCATACAACAGAGCTAAATGGAAAATATTTATTATAGTCAGGAATGAGTTTACAGCTGGGGGTGCATGGGTACTAATTTCTTATCAAATCCAATAGCTATTTCTGGCATTTAATGGTCTTAAATTAAATCAGTAATTAAATACTCTTAAGCTTATTTACTATGCTTTAGTTTATCCATATCTTATCTATGGAAATATAATCTGGGGTAATACCTACAAAAAAAGGATCCAAAAACTTATGAATATTCAAAAAAAAATTGTGCGCCTTATGACTTTCAACAATTCAATTCTTATTTGGCACATAGTGAACCAATTTTTAAAGACTTAAAAATTCTAGATATTTATAAAATTAATGATTATTTAATAAATTTATTTATGTTTCGATATCACTATACCAAAAAATCTACCAGAGGTATTCACTGATTACTCTGTGACAAATGATCAAATCCACCAACACAATACAAGAAATAAAACACAACTCCACAAGTCATACAAAAAAACGAACTATGTAAAACATACTCTTTCAAATAAAGGAGTCGATGTTTGGAATGGACTTGAATGTCATTTTAAAAATATCACTTCTTGTAATACTTTCAAAAATACTATAAAAGAACACTTCCTTCAAATATCAAGTAATTAATTAAATTATATGTACAATGCAACACTTTATGCTGTAAATAGCTTTCACATTTTCTCTCTTAATTTCTCTTCTTTTAACTATTATTATAATACTTATTGTAATATATTTTAAATTTGGTTGACTGTATAGTCTGTAGCTAGAACTAGCATCTAAATTTTATAACTATAGCCGTATAGGGGTCTTAAATAAAAGCCTGTTAAGGTTTCTGGTAGGTCCCTACCATAACATTAATCTAATTTTTTTTAATGTAAATATTTATATGTTCAATAATGGGCAATAAAAGGGAAAAAAATGGTGTCCGTTTGTACCATTTAGGTAAGTGGGTGCCACAAGGGTGGAGGGGATATGAAAAGGAGGGGATATGAAAAGGGGGGTAAAGGTGTTCTATGGGAAGTGCATCAACCCTTCTTCCCTTTAATCAGAATAACCTAAGCACCAAGCGAGATCTGACAATTTAGTGATCAGTGATTTCAAACCTACGGCCCTTTCAATATTTCCAAAATCCTGATATTTACCAATTCCCAATTGTAGGCTGCCTGAAAAAGCAAGGTTGGCATCTTCAAGTGTTAACTAACTGGAATGCATACTGCAATTACTTTACTTCAAATGCTGGAATTTTGCCATAAATTATCAATAGCCTTTTTAATTTTGGTTTGACATATGAAAATTGGAGCCTCCCCATCATCTTCATACCTACCAAGTCTCACACATTATGCGTGTGACACACGCCTCAGCATATTTTCTCACGCTCACACGTGCAGTATAATTTATCTCGCACATGAGCTACTAATTTGGCCGCTTTGTGACTTCAGAGTTTAATTTTTAAAAATGTAAATCTGGAGAGCGTTGTAAACTTTAGAAACCTGTGAAATGTTTTAGCATGTAGTTTTTCTATTTTACACTATGAAATTAGTGAGTAAATTACAGTCAAACCAGATGTTCTGTTCCCATGACAGTCTCGTCCCCAGGCTCCAACTCAGATGCACGGGTTCCGACACAAGGCACAGCAAATCAAAGTGCCTGGGGACAAGGCTGTTCCACTGAATATTGCAATATTGTTGGGAATATTGAAGCTCAGCCCCCCCCCCCCCGCCCTCCACTACACCACTGGTGTTTATTATCAGTGCGAATTTCAGTCAGCACCTTGTTTGATGCTCTAATATTTGCTGTGCATAAAATAAATGCTATCTGATTACAGATCCAAGGTGTGGCTATTATGCGGAAAATCGTGAAGAAATTGTGTCTTGGGAATAAAACGCTGGAAATTCCAAATGAGAGACACAAATTTTTAAAAATTTCCGGTGAGAGGGGTGCATTCTCCTAACCCCCCACCCCCTAGACTGTGTCTGAGGATGGCGTGTAACACATGCAGATCACTCCAGAGCTGCCACTGTATACTGCAGAGCCGCCAAGTTTCAATGATAGTGGCAGGGTCTGAGGGAACACTACAAAGGAAAAGTTTTTAAATCTGCATGATTCTCTGAAATAATTTTTCCTGTACCGGTATTCCGAAGTCATTTAGCCCATTGAGTGGCAGCACTCTCCCCTTTGATGAGTAAAACTGTGTGGCGGTAGAATATAGGGCACATTGCCACTGAAAGGGTTAATGACAGAATTCACTAATGTTTCAATGACTAATTTTATGACAATGGTTGCATATATAAACTATTCAGAACACAATACAATATTCTCAGCTTGAGAGCTGGAAATTGACTCCCAAAGCTGGAGTTGCTGAAAGCTTGAGACTTCACATCTACACAGCAAAAAATGCCGAGCCAGCTGCTCAACAGGATTGAAGAATGTTTTGCTGCCCACGTTGTTCACATGCAGTTGTCAACAATATTGAACATTAGTATAATTACATAGGTGATTATTGAAAATTCTCCACGCTGATTGGTTGCCGTTGAGGTGATTATTACGCGATAATCACCTAAGCGATTTTCAAAATGGCAGCCGAAGCCTTTTTGTCAATTAAATGACGAAGAAATGTGTATTTTCTTATTTTTTTCCAAATAATCACCTATGAAATTATACTAAAACAATTATTCACCTCGGGCTCGGTGATTATCGTGAATAAAAACCTCGACTTCGTCTCGGTTTTTATTCACCGATAATCACCTCGCCTTCGGCGAATAATTGTTAAATATTGTTGAGCCTGAATCGGGTGTAACAATATTGTTCAATATTGTTGACAGCTATGACCAATGTGGGCAGCAAAACATTGTTCAATCCTGTTTTCATCAATATTGCATCAACCTGAGCGTTTTTACGCGTGTAGGTATTTGTTGGGTCAAAGTTGCAAGTTGCAACATTTGGTTTATTAAAATTCTTAATTATACATATTATAAAGTTCATTTTGTTCGTTAGTCATTTGCGCGTGACTACATACATTAATACCACTTATAATAACAAAATATCACGATAATGTTCAAGTTTGTTCATTTCAAACTCATATCATATATAGATATTCAGTACAATGCGTGAGGAACACAGTGTAGTTTCTGGCAAATCACAAAATATGATAATTCCTTGTTGCACAACATGAACAGAAAAGCAAAGTAGACTTACGGATTAAATAAGTGAGAATCAAATATGTTGCTGATGTCATTTCTTCCGCTTTCAATTCTTCAAATTTTGAACCAAGAAAGCAAATTTAACGTCGTTCGACTAAAATGATTCAGGTGTGTCCTTAATTAAACCTTACAAGAGCAAACAGCATTCATCTTTGGCCAAAGTGAAAGTAATTTTGATATGAATTATTACTGTAATACTTGATCTCAGGACACTATTAACGCTCTGACACTGACGTTAATAAAATTGAATATTCATCAGTATATTAACAATTCGCAACTCGCAGTATTCGCACACAGATGCGGGTTTCCGAAGCAGGTGTTTAGTGCGGGCGGGAGAAGAGACGCCCTCTCTTCCGGTGGTGAAACCTCAGTGGGTGAAACACAGCAAAGCCTACCCTGGATTCCAGAGCCTTCGACAGTAAATAATAAATTGAAATGTCGCGAAGGCTCTGGTTCAACGGGGCGATTCTTTGATTAAACCGCGCCAATCACAAAACAGAATTTCTGTTTTGTGATTGGTGCGGTTTAATCAAAGAATCGCCCCGTTGAACCAGAGCCTTCGCGACATTTCAATTTATTATTTACTGTCGAAGGCTCTGGAATCCAGGGTAAGCAAAGCGCTGTGTATGAGCACAGTATGAGGCAGTCTACACGCATAAAAACGCACAGCTTGTAATAAGTCTGCAAACAAGTTGTTACAAGTCTGTTCACAAGCTGTCAACAAGTTGTGTTCGCACTGCTTGTTCCCAGTTTGTTGTAACAAGTTTGGAACAAGCTGTTAACAACTTGCAACAAGCTTGATGGCATTATCAGTCTTATCAGACTTGTTACAAGACTGTGCTAACAAGTTTGTTACAGTCATGATATATTAAACAAGGATGTTACAAGGTTATCAACACAAGGTTGTAACAATTTTGTTATATCAACAGACATTCCAACTCTCCCGATTTTACAGAGTCTTCCAAAAATTCATGCTATCTCCTGGTCTCCCGATTTTTATCAAATTCTCCCGATTTTTCAAAATATTCAGGAAAGATCGTAAAAAATCATAGATGTACTGTTTTTAGCAACATAATAGTCTGTCTTGACCTTTTTATGAAGTTACTTTATGGCAATTTATAGCGTCACTTATAACAACATACTCCCAAAATGCAGGAAACGCCATTTCAGAAGACTTGATTTTTATTATTTTTTCCCATAAGAACTAGATTTGAATTCACTGAACAGTCTCCCTAAATTTTACCTCAAGTAGCTGGAATGTCTGTATCAAGCATGTAACAGACTGGTCAGAACAGCCTTGGAACAAGTCAACAAGGTTGTTACAAGTTGTCAATAAGTTGTTCCAAACCTGTTGACAACTTGTGACAAGCAGTGCGAATACATCTTGTTCACGGCTTGTTGGCAGACTTGTTACAAGATGTGAGATTTTTACGTGTGTAGTGAGCACTTGTTTCCATCTACCAAACTGACATGACGTCATTTTCGGAAGATGTAAGAGGTGTTTTGACACCTCTTACAAATAGCTATGTAGCTATAAACTTAAACCCATAGGCGTACCGGGCGGGGGGGCGGGGTGGGGGGCGGTAGCCCCCCAGTTTTTTGGGCAGTCCGGCAATATTCGATCAACAGTCGGGCAATTTTGGTTTGCAATAAAAAAAAAGGGACAAATTCTGTCAATTTTGTCTAAAATTAAGTCAATTTTTTGGCAAATTTTGTTATTTTTCGAAAATTTGTGTTATGTTCCGAAAAATATTGGTTGTCCGGAAAATTTTTTTGACCCCTAAAATGGTACACTGACCGAAATTTTTTTGGCGACCGGGGGGGGGGGTCGCCAAAATAATTTTTCCGCAAAAATTGTTTTGGTACTAGTCGGGCACAATCCCGAAAAGTCGGGCAATTTTCTTTCCGCCCCCCTAATTTTTTCCTTCCGGTACGCCCATGCTTAAACCCTACTCTAACCCCCAACCCTAACCGCAGCCAAATTAATAAAATCCAAAAAGAAACAACTTTAGAAACAACCTCGCAAACTCACACTCTCTGCTGGAGCGTGTTTGGGAGGGAAGCGGTAGAAATTGATCAAAGACGTAATGTCAGTTTGGTAGATGGAAAAAAGTGAAAACCGAAAAATACATGATTATCGTGGTTTGCAGATGCCCATTATTTTACATCCTCACAAATTTCGCAACTGCCGTCTACACAACACGTGTTTCGTCGAAGAAGATTTTCACCAAGCTGCTTAGTAATATTTTTCCTATATTAAATATACAGTACTAAACTACTAATACAGTACTATATTATACACAGAGTCAGAGATCTTTCTGATGATGTGAAAAAGCAGAGATATGGTCCAGTTGTTCTTAGCTAACCTATTCACAATTAGTCCGTGGATAATAAAAGGCACAACCGGTCTGGTCACTGGTCAGTGCTAGTGGTCAGCCATAGACGTTCTAAGCCGGTAGGCCCATGGTGGTCACAATCATTATCCCTTATGGACATTATGTATAGGCGGAGTTTCAGTAGTTTACATTAAACAGTAAACCATTAAGACATTATTATGTTTGTAGTAACCACAGTCATTCTTAGTTTCATGACAGATCTTATAGGAACTTGACAGCAACTAGCGAAAGTGAACTTTACTCTCTGAGGATCGGTGATAACCCAATCTACTCGACTGACAAGGCAAAGAATTTGGGATCCTGGTTGGACTCTCAGACAGGGCATTTTTTAACTACATAACTACCGGGGCATTTACCCCAGTAGGCCCTTTGCTTGCCCCAGTAGTGAAGCAATATTTTCAGATGAGCTGGGCCCTTTTGATCATTAGTAAAAAGTCATCCTTGTTGAAAAAGCTGCACCTGCCTGCTTTCTCATATCCTCTCACATTCTCGACATTCCATCATATAAAAGTCATGCAGCACACATGGCCTTTATGTATGCGTAACTGTGTGCAGGGCCGTAGCTAGAGGTGATAACTGAGGGGCGGGGGTGTATATTTATGCATTCATGTTCACTGTTCACATACCGTAAAAACAATCGCTTTCAAAAGAAATCCATCGGGCAGAACAAGAATATATGAATATGCATCCCCCTACCCCAATTATCGGTCTAGCTACGGCCCTGACTGTGTGAAGAAAAGGCCTTTGTTGAGACTTAGCCTCAGTAGTTGTAATTTCTTAAAATGTAACCTGTTGTTTTGGTTTATGTATTTCTAGTATTTCTGCACGTCTGTTTATTTCAAAACTTCAGGGAAGTCAACTCCTATCGACCCAGCAAAGATTTCTGCAGAAACATTTCTAAATTTATAGACAAGCTGTCAGGATGTTTGCTTAGAAGTTTAGGTTAACCTAGGGTTAAGATAACCGGCTTTCAATGACACCATTTCGGTGTCGTTATGACGTCCATCCGTGCATTTATAGCTGAATAGACAACGGCAAAATGGATTCTATTTGTTAAAACAACGCAAGAATGTCGTCACTGTCTTTCTGATTTCGGTAAACCAATAATAATTGTCGCTGCGATGTCGCGAACCAATTATATTCCTTGTTTGTACAGATCCCCGATCTCGTCACATCGTGTGTTCCATCTTTCCCAAAGCCCCCAGGAACACGGCGGAAAGATCTACCGAACCTTTTCAATATTTCCTTTGTTTTTTTTGTGGTACAGAACCAAATGATCTCATTTTCCCGTGTGTCTGTACTCTGTACTGTGGCGCGTGCTAAACGTTTTGACAAAATGGTAGGGCTTTACTTTTCTACGCATCACAACTAGATTTGAGTCTTTTTGCAGCTCTGTTCCTTCAGATTTACCTTTCTTGTGGAAAATCGAGTAGATCTTCCAAGTCTTTCTCTAAGCGCCGTTTCGAACACGACTGGAGAGCGTTACGAATTAACATTTCTGTCAAACGAGCTAAGCGTCTGTTAGCATAAAGAACTGCCTCTTCAAAATGAAGTTCTTCAGCAAGGCATTGCGCTTTCTTGGAAAGCTCAAAAGCCCACCTTAGATCCTTGGTTTGTTCAGCTAACTTGATTCGATAAAAGTGTGGAGCGGCAAATAACACAGATCAGATTGGGCGAGGAAATATTCGACCTCCTGGAAACGAGTAGGCTGGATTCCGTCAAACATTGATCCTTGAACAGCCTTTAGTTCTGATGCTGCGTTATCGATGTCAGCTTCAGTCAGAACTTTCCGTTTTGCTATTTCACCAGTAAGAGAGCAGCCCAGCTGCGACATGGCCAAGTAGATACGGGTCTTTTGCTTGAGATCAGAAGTACTTCTCGGGTACTGATGCTCGTCCAGTGTATTTGCATCTCTTAGAGCAGCTTGAAGATAGGTTTGGCTTTCTTTGACAAGAGCACTGTATCTCTGGGAATCTCTTTCTTTAGAAGACAGAATGGTTGCAACTGCAGCAGCGTGGATGTAAAACCACACGGTCAAAAAATCTGCTTGGACGAGCTGCATCATTTGCAAACCATCCTTGGCCGTCTTGTAACTTTTCTCACACTTGTCCTCTGCTCGCTCTATTCTACTCTTCAAACAAAGCCCCCTCACTTCAAAAAAAGGGACATCGTTTACCTCGGCTTGATTTAATGTCTCCAAGAAGTCACCAAGCAAGCATTTCGCTGTTCCAAATTGGTTGTTTTTACAAGCAATCGCAGCTTTCTCGGCTGTAGATACCAAGCGAGCGCAGCTATTTGGATATTTGCGCATAGCCAGGGCGCAGAACTTGTTAAACTCCTCTATCTTCCTGTCATTCCTAAACTGAACAAGCTTGGTCGTTAGTACTTGATAAATATGCCGGTTCTTCTTCGAGCTCCATGTTGCAAGTTGCATTTTTGATGGAATTGGCTCTGATGGAGCCTCCAAAGTTTCACTAAAGTACTTCTGCAGGTCAGCCACCTTCGTCTTTTCCACTCTTCCGTCGGCAATATGGTAACTTTCAGGTTCATCGGTGAACACGCCACCACGACAACAAGCTATGGCAACGACAATTACAAACGTTGAGGCGATTAGTTTTCCTTCACCATCTTTAACGGGCATAAAAAATATATCCCAGTATCTACCTTTCTGCTGGACTCCGCTACAATGCCCAAGCCAAATCATTTTCTCGACAGTCTTCGTGATTTTTCTGGTGATTTCAATTTGATCTTTTTCAGTCACGATCTCCCCTTCGACAATCCCATCGTCGTTAATACCATAATAAATATGGCCGCCTGAGTGGTTGGCAAAAGCGGAAATATAGCAGGAGAGTTTATTAGACTTCCCAGATATTCGATCGGCCAGGGTGACATTCTTAGATGGTTCTGACTTTAAGCTTTTCCATTGGGTGTTAGTGTCTTCATCGCACGTTGCCCTTTCATTCATAACAAAATCTTGATAGCATGCTCCTGGTCTAAGTACTTCTTTGACTGGTTTACCAACCCTGTTTATTACTGCTTTGACTTTCGCTACAGACTCTGATGGTTGAATCACTTTCACCTGAGATTTAGTTGGCAAGTATAGATTATAATTAACTACGAATAGTCCCTCCACTTCCTTCACATGAATGAAAATTTTCTGGGGAAGTACTTCAAATTCTATGTTAGAAACCAAACCTACAGTTCCTATCAAGTCTCCAATCTTTTGCTCAATGATTCTTACACACGCATCAATTTGCTTCCTCACAGGAATGCTTTTGTAGATCATTTCAAGCGTTCCTCCGCCACTGTTTAACAGTGCGTTAATTGTTTTATTAATTTCCTTCGTAATACGTTCTTTGTAGCTTTTTCCCGTTGCACTGCTCATCTTAATGGGACATATTTCGAGGGATATGGCAGTTCTAATACGTAATTCCGTTTTCAAAGATTGCGTCATAGTGAGTATGCTTATCCCGTATGTCCCATGTTCAGTTTTGTTCCTGACCTCGCAACAACAGCCTAAACGAAATGTGATCTGTCAATAATTTAAGCACAAATATCATGACGAAACAATAGCGTTTGTCAAAACAAATGACCAGTTCATCGCATTCCAGAGTCCATGTTCGTGTCACCATTGCCCAATTTTATATCGTGGGAGGACTGGCCTGGGAAGCCCTCCCCCCCCCCCCCAGGGAGAATCCCGAAATTTGAGGATGGAGGTTGAAATACCAGCCAAAACAGAACATGCATACGTATAAAGATTTCAACATCGTTCCACTTCTCGAACGGTGACCATATGGTAAAATTACATGCTCGCTTTCATACACATGCATGCTTGATTTTCGCCAGAATTTCCACTACCGTCCCCAAACATCACGATGTTCCCCAGTTCGCCCACGACATGAAATTGAGCAATAGTTAATAGATATAGACCATAGATATCTTATAGTTATATACACTTGATACTAGATAGTGCATCTAATTATTCTGCAATTCGATCCGTCAAAAATTGAAGCCGTGATTGCAGTCTCAGGTCGTTCCCATGAAATGAGAAAATTCGTATGTTTTCTATTTCTTAAACAGGGAACTTAAACATTAAGTTAACCCTATTCCAAATACGTTTTTAAACTATTCAAATGATGAAAGTTATTGTTGTTTTTTAAGCGTTTATTAGCAAGTGGGAACGATCAACATGGCCGCCATCTATTCAAATGGGGGTAACCGCTGGAATATTCTTGGCTTCAATTTTTCTAAAAGAGATGCGCTATCTAGTGTATATAAGATATCTATGACATAGACATGGTTTGGAAACTCGGTTCAAAAGTTAAAAGGTCATTGTCCTTTTGTCTGTAATGCATCATGGTCTTTCGTCCTCACGTGATGCATTGAATTTTCTGCATACATTGAATCGGTTTGTGTTGAGTTAAGACAATAGAAAAGCAAGCATTTTCTTAATTGTAGCAACAATTTATCAGCCTCCAAGTGCACCAGAAGAAATATTTGAGGAAATTCAGAAATTAATTGCATCAAATGCATGGGTCAGTGGCCCCTGTGCCCCATATGATCAGATCATAATGAATCAACCGTATGTAGAGTGTAGACCGTTTTATTTCTGACCATGCTTCTGTTATCTGCGATCTATTACCAGCCAAACCAGTTATGTCAATCAAAAGAGTTAGTTACAGGAAATTAAAATGTGTGAACATGACCTCTCTAAACCAAGATCTGGCTGCTACTGCATTGTGTGCGACCTGTCGTGGTGAACCAACAAATCTGCTGCCAGATGACGTGGATGCGCTGGCACGTGATTACAACGAAACTCTGTCGAGCCTAACTAACTGTCATGCACCATTAAAGACCAAAAGTGTAAGAGCAAGGGCATCGGCGCCCTGGTACAACGGTGAAATCGATGCTGCAAAATCGAGGCGATGGAGTTGTGTACAAATAAAGGCTCTTTGGGCATGGATGATCACAGATAAGATGAAACTGAACGACGACAAGACAGAGTTCATGTTATTGGGTACCCACCAGCAGCTTAGCAAAGTATGCATCGAGAAATTGTTTGTTGGTGGCGTCACCATGACCCCAGTTTCTGTTTCTCGGAATTTGGGAGTATCGTTTAATTGATTCTCACATGAGTTATGTGACACACATAAATAAAACATGTAAAGCTGCGTTTTTCCACCTTCACAACATCAGAAGAATAAGAAAGTTTCTCTCAAACGAGGCAGCTCAGACATTGGTTCATGCATATGTGATGGGAAAACTTGACTATTGTAACAGTTTACTTTTTGGGTTACCTGATAAACAGATAAAGAAGCTGCAGCGTGTGCAGAATGCGGCTGCCAGGTTGATTTCCTATACTCCACGGTTTGGACATATAACTCCAGTGTTGCGTACATTACATTGGCTTCCAATTAGATTTAGGATAGGATTTAAAATGTTAGTTATAATATTTAAATCTATACACTGTAAATTCGAAGGAGTCGTTTCGACCCCTTCAAAAGGGTCGTTTTTTTGACCCCAAGACGACCCCTTCAAAAGGGTCATTTTAGCCCCTTCGGAGGCTACTCCTCGGAAGGGTCGTTTCTACCCCTCACAAAGAGTTCTTTTGGCTCTTCAAAGGGTCACAATGTTACTCTTTCAAAGGGTCGTTTTGACCCTCTAAAAAAGTCTAAATGACCCTTTCTAGGGGTCATTCTGGCTCTTCGGCGGAGTCATTTCAGCTCCTATTTTGGAGTCATTGCGAAGGGTAGTTTTTTATAAGGGGTCGTTTTTACCCCTTCAAAGAGTATAAAAGCCCTTTCATGGGGTCGTTTTAGTTGCTTAAAATTAAAAGGGTCGTTTTAGCGCTATGAAAGGGTCGATCTAAAAATCATTAAACTTCTTAAAACCTTGAACCCTTGGCACATGCAATCACGTTAAAGCATGATAACACCAAAGTACGCAAATAAGGCCTTAAGGCCTAGTTCAAACGTCGCGCTACTGCCATGCCGAATGCATTAAACACAATAAATAATGAGGCATTTCAGCTGATCGTGCGTTCGGCACGGCATAAGCGCGACGTTTGAACGGGTTTTAACCAATATATACACTCTTAAAAAAAGATGTGCTAAAGCAACACACCTTTTATGTCCAGAAAACAAGTGTTACAGTAGCACACCTTAACGTGTGTTTTATGCTTGTCCAGAAAACAACACATCTTTAGGTGTGTTTTGAGAAAAGGTGTGTTTGTTAGCACACCTTGGTGTGTTGCTGTAACACACCTTATGGTGTGCTGCTGTAACACACCTTATGGTGTGCTGCTGCAACACCATAAGGCGTGCTACAGCAACACACCTTAAAGTAACTTAAGGCATGCTGCTGTAACACACCTGATTGATTAACCTTAGAAATCAATAAAGATATTTTTGAGTCAAAATAATTTATTATCCTTCTATATATAAGGTATACAGTATTATAATAGGAAAGACAATTTGCTTTAGCATATATAATGATACATTCGTACGCTCGATAACATTCTTTGAATGCAGTTCTAAGTTCAAATTTTCACTGATGATATCATGGGAACATGTGTATAATATGATGGATTGCAGGATGTTGCAAATAGCCAATATTAAATATAGGAGACAATCAAGAGCCTACTCTAGTGAGGCAATAATAGCAGACTGATTACTGGGTTTTTGTAGATAAATATTTCAAATGGAAACTGTACAGTTAACATGTGTTTCATAGAACTAACTGCGAGCATATTTCGCTCGCTACTCTAGTTTAATACATTATTACAAAGCCTGGTTGAATTGTAATCATGACCCAACGTTTCGACACTCCAGTCTAGTGTCTTCATCAGGGGTGATCTAAAGTTGCAATTGTGGCTTCTTAAATACCCAAGGGATGACGTCACCTGCCAATGAGATGCATGTAATATTAAGGTTGCCTTAAAACCCTATTTGACATTAAGCCATATTTTTGCAAAGCCAAAAGATCTTGTTAAAACAAATCAGAAAACTCATACTGTATATTCTATACCATGCAGTGACTGCGAGAAAGAGTATTTGGGTCAGTGTAACCACCAGTTTCGTACATGGCTAAAAGAACATCAAAAGACTGTTTCAACTTTAAACAAGGGAAAATCAGCTTTAGCAGAACATGTGTGTGACACCAAACACAAGATTGTATGGGAAAACTCTAAAGTAATTGCCACAAATAATCGCAATGGTCAAAGACTATGCCTAGAAGCATGACATATAAATATGAGTAATTACGCTGTGAATAGGGATAACGGTGCCTATTTGCCAGAGGAATACATGCATCTCATTGGCAGGTGATGTCATCCCTTGGGTATTTAAGAAACCACAATTGCAACCTTAGATCACCCCTAGAGAAGACACTAGACTGGAGTGTCGAAACGTTGGGTCTTGATTACAATTCGACTGGGCTTTGTAATCATTTATTTAAACCAGAGTAGCGAGCAAAACACGATTGATATACCTGGTTGCAGTGAACGAACAAACTTCAAATAACTGAGAGCAATTGCAAGTCTGCCAGCACGAACTGAACCTGCAGCCCTGCAATTCTACTGCAGCCCTCTGACTTAGGGCCTGTTTACATGGAGGTAGGGTGACCCTAGCAGAAGGGTTACCCTAGCAAGCAGGTTACCCTACTTCAATATGCTTTATAGGAAGCGTTTACATGCGTGCTAGGGTTACCCTAGGGGTAGGGTTACCCTATCAAACAGATAGGGTGACCCTAGCAGCAGGGCTATCTTTTTGTTTACATAAGCCATGTAAATGCGTCAGGTAGGGTTACCCTAGCAAGCGGGTCATGTTTATTCGTCCTACTGTGACAGACAACTAACAAGGATGGCGTCGCTAGATTATACATATCAGCCTGGCGAGTATTTTAAACGACACCACAAAATAAGAAGGGCAAGCAATTTACAAATAAGGAAGCGGCAGAGGCATAGAACGAAGCTTTGACTTTGGACGAGAACGCTGCGAATGATGTAGTTTCGATAACAAATTCAGTGTCAAAGACGGCGAACTGGAAGCAAAATTCCGGCGCATCCTCATCGACGTCAAAAAAACAAAATAAATGCTCTTAGTCAGCCGAACATGTCGAAAAACTGTTGTGTTTGACTATATCAAGGAATACATTACGCTTATTTACGCAATGCGAGTAATAGACCACAACATTGAAATAACAGACCACGATATTGAAATAACCTCGGAAATAACAGACCACAACATTGAAATGCAGCAAGCAAAGGCCCAATAAATAGCATTACACAACTTGCCGCTAAAACTTTGCGTTTCGGTGCCATTTATCTAATACAGACCGCTTAGCGACCACGCATAGGTAGGGTTACCCTATCCGGCAACATAGCCCTAGCAGTAGGGTCACCCTACCTCATGTAAACGCTCGCTATTTTCTGACCCGCTTGCTAGGGTAACCCTCCTGATAGGGTCACCCTACCTCCATGTAAACAGGCCCTTAAAGTGTCTGTTTGCCAAGAGGTCACCACAAGTTGCTGCACATATATAAACCATGGTGGTGTCAGTGGTAGTATTATTATATATAATAAATAAACTGGGATGACAGTATTATATACATAAACTCTCGGTGACCTCCATTGACTCTTGGGGTTTAATGTACTCTTTGCAATTAAGGAGCTGATCTGAATCACAGGGGTTCCATTCCCGGCACAACAGCTATTACATAGTTATTGTTCAATATTTCCATCTACAGAAAGACTTTAACCCATTGAGTGGCAGCATACCTGGCATTGGACACAAAATAATAATATAATAAAGTAGAGCACATTGCCACTTAAAGGGTTAAACATTCTGTTCAATCTTGAATATTTACAAGACTAAAGTAAAATACACTGCGTGCATTGTCAGTACTCAATCAAGCATATATATGTCGTGCAAGTTCATTAGTTAAATTTTAGTACAAAACAAGCTGTACTATACCACCAGTCGGCAACTCCTAGTCCTTTCCTTGCGTGGTTTGGTAATCCATAAACATGCTCTCCAGCAAAAGAATAACATTTTCCAAATAGACCATAAAGTACTTCAAATGCCATCAATGATTATATATATTGCCACTTGTTTAGATGACTTGCCTTCTCCTGCGATGCTTCGATAACGTTTCATTCAGCATCACAAGATATAATGAATCCATATTAAATACAACCACTATTAATTAAGAAAAAATATATAAGGTTGATATATAACAGAAGCAAATTATTGATTGAGTGACAATGAATTTGCTATTTTTGGTTGTTTTCTAGTATACAAAGCAAGCAGAGGTGTAACTTAACACTTGCCCACTTGCCCGGGGCAAGTGAAATTCATGACGGGCAAGTAAATGTTTTATCTTGCTTGCCCAATTGGGCAAGTTACCTTGCCACAAAAATCTGGGCATCTTTAAGTTTATGTTTTCATTGTCCGATAATTTTTTTGTAGTGCATGTACTGGATTCAAGCACTCTCCCCCTGACGAGTAATATCGTCAGGCGTAAGACAGACTAAAATAATAAAGTAGGGCACATCTGGGCACATTGCCACTTACAGGGTAAACAGGGTGCATCCTATAGGCAGATAGTCTGATTAACCCATTGAGGGGCAGATTCTCCTCCTGACGAGAAAAATTGTCTGATGTTAAACAAAGTAAAATAATAAAGTAGGGCGCATTGCCACTTAAAGCATTAAAATATCTCAGTAATTGTTTTTGTCAGTTACATTTCGAAACTGTCTGCAAAAGTAAGATGTTGGTTATTGGAAAATGTGCTTCTATTATATAACTCAGTCTGGGTGATTCAATTTGGTGAGCCTACCCATCTAAAGAGGCTCATGTAAACAGACATTCATCCAGGGAAAGCAAGCTATAGCCGGGTTACCTGGGCTGGCTTTCCTCCATATTGACCATATAAGCAGCCCCTCACACATGTTTTAGGGTGACCGATGGAGGGTTACCATAGCAAGCACATGCCATACATTGGGTAATATTGGGAGACGGGCCATTACAATGCTATCTATATGCTATTAATGTGACTTCAAACAAATCACATTATATTTATGTGATTTGTAAGTATACATGTCAACTATAAATGGCAAATATTTCACAGGAAATATAACATACATATATATCACACAAATAAGCTATACGATTTCCTTAAAACACAAATAAGTAGAGTGTAGATTAGATTTATACACTTCTGCTAATAGAAACTAATCGAAAATTTTATTTACAACTGAACGTTTAGATGCCTTCGGTGAAAAAGTATTAATACAAATACAGGCCTTCGATTTAAAAACATAACTATACATTATATCAAGTAACTATCCGCATACAAATGAGTAAATACACAAGAGACATACCTTTGAAAACAAATTCCATGTATTTCATTAGGTCTTTGGAACTTTATAAGTAGAAAATTTGAATAAAAATTCTTTACTCTTTGAATGTTTGCTCCCAAAAGATCGAACATAGCGCTTGTTATCAACAGATCGAATTACTACAACACGTGATATATTCTAAGCATGTTAATTGGTTAAAAAATAGTTGAAATTCTGGAACTTCCACTTGTCGCAAATTATATTCCGCAAAATTATTCCGCAATAGAACATTCCATAAGTTCAAATTACAGATTAATTTCCGCAGCAAATAAAAACTGATAATAGATTAATTAATTTGACGAGAATGTGAAATGTGCAGAGGCAATCGTGTGCCATTTGTAGCACGTGAAATTGCCACAATATTCAATCATTACGGTCGATGCCATCGCCACGATCCAAATTTTTTTGTAGCTTGCAAAGTTCGTGGATGCGGAGCTTCGTATAAGAATTACGAAGGGTTTAAAAGCCATATTCGTCGCCACAAATTATGGCGAATTGTATTCTATTGTATATTCTGGCTGGCCAATGTCCAACGATTTTTTATATATTCTACTCTGACTACTACCAGAGGACGGTCTGTATCCTACCTGACAAACTCTAGTGGATTTTATTCGACTTTGCAAACAGCAGTATAAATAGTAAAAATATAGCAATATAAATATATCATTGTCGATTTGCAAGTGCTCTTACAAAGTATGCTGCTGGCGTAGAAGAGGGAGGGCTCATAAACAAAAATGCGCGGTCTTCTATGAACGAGCAACTACCCCTCAAGGAGCCAATGTACTCTTCAGGAAGAGTCGCGCGACTCCCTCGAGGAGTCATTTTAGCCCATCGTGGGGCCAAAACGCCCCTCTTATATAAAACGACCCTTCCGAGGAGTCAAAACTATCCTTCAACACAAGGGACCGAAATGACCCCAAGGGGTCAAAACGACTCCTTTGAATTTACAGTGTAATGAGGCATTTCAGCTGATCGTGCGTTCGGCAAGGCAGTAGCGTGACGTTTGAACGGGTTTTAACCAATATATATATATATATATATATATATATATATATATATATATATATATATATATATATATATATATATATATATATATATATATATATATATATATATATATATATATATATATATATATATATATATATATATAACTATATATATATATATAGTTATACTAGATATATATATATAGTTATACTATATATATATATATATATATATATATATATATATATATATATATATATATATATATATATATATATATATATATATATATATATATATATAAATTAAAGTACTATTACCACATATATGGTTTGTTTCAAAATTATATTAAAATACATACGATAATATTACATATAATACAATTTATACATGAATGTTTGAATCAACATCAGTTTGTCTCTCTTTTGTCTCTCACTGGTGCTAATGAATCCAATGTTGGTACCAGTACTCTTATTAATAAAAAAACCCAAAATGATATGATTTAATTACTGTTCATGTGGTGGCTTCATAACTCCTTTTGAAATGCCATAGTAAATATTAATAAGTGGGTCCAATTGGTCAATCAGCTGATACTTTTCACAATTCCTCATGTATGCGCTTTCTTCTGATTCTTCAGGTTGATTGAGGCTCCTCCGAACTTCTTCAACAACCTGCAGACATATTATTTGATGAGTGATAATGTAAATTTTTTGAAAATAACTGCATACCTTATTGTCTTTATAACCATAATACTGTAGTTCATATACATCAGTAGTCAGTGATATAACTTTACTTTTTTGACCACTTGTCTTCAGGGCAAGTTCAACTTGCCAAGTTGGATATGGAAATTAGTTGCCCTGAATAAAATTCACTTGCCATCAGACAATGGCCAGTGGGGTACCTAGGTAGGGGGTATACATTACAGTAAGGGGACAACATGTCGACCCATTCTTCCATTGCTCTAGATGGCTATGTTGTACTGCCACAGATCTACACTAGCTTTGGCCCACAAAAAAGCAAAGTTTGAATCCATGCACAAGTACAACATGCACTGTTTAAAAAAATTATCCGGCAATGAAAACATAAACTTAAAGATGCCCAGCTTTTAGTAGCAATGATATTCACTTGCCCCGGGCAAGTGGTAAGTTACAACTCGGTTACTTATTGAAAGCATAATTATATAACTTGGCATCCTTAACCAATTAACCACCATCACTCTCCCACTCACAAACAAAATTGTTTGGCATTAGACAGGAATACAATAAAGGGTGAAATGCAACTTCATGGGTTATAATTTGAAATTTTGACTGTGGGACCATGATTTCTGGGACTCAAATTGACCATAGTGACTCAAATCTTCCCACGAAAATAAATAAATAATTTATTTGTAATCATTCTATTATGTAAGATAGAGTTTACAACATGAGAAAGAATTTTTGAACAGCAAAACCATTAGATGGGTATAAAATGTAAGGGTGATGGTGTTTGTGATTTAATATGCTATATTGCCTCACATTCCAGAAAACATTCATATGGTTATGGACTTATGGTTTAACCTCAGTTGTATTGGAGATAAGTGCTGCTTGTTTCAGTAACCCATTGAGTGATAGCACTGGGGCCGGTTGTATCAAAGGCGTTTAGCTTAAACGGTGGATAAGTAAATAACTAAACTTAAATTTTATCAACAAAATGTGTAGTTTTATGCATAGTTGTTATGTTTACTAGACAGTGTGCGAATTAACGGTGTGCAATGTGCAATTTGCACATCGTTTTGGCCAAAATGGAGAAAATTGCACATCACTTTTTCAAACGATGTGCAAAAAAAAATTATAAACGTTTCATGTTTACAAATTAATGCCAATTAATCCGCTTTTATAAAGTGCTTTTTCAGCAACGCATTGACGCATCTTAAATATGAGATATGTTCAACACAGCAAAGATTGAGTAACACTAGCAGCGCCTTTTTAGAGGTGAGAGAAACACGTGCAGAATGTAAATGTTCTGCATCATTAATTAACTATCATTCTTTAAGCCAATTACAATACAGTTTTCATAAAAATCTTTATCTGATTGGATCGTTCCTGGAGAACTATGGCATGTACATGCAGCATCTTGAGCAGGTAAGAATGGCGAATTTTACTCTCTTCACCAGCTGGTAAAGAGCAGTTTTCAAACATTCTGAACATTGTGGAGCTGCTATTGATTACACCCATCTCGAATGCTGTGGTTGAACGGATGTTCTCCACAATGGAGAGAATGAAACCACACCTCTGCAACAGAATGTCATGAGATAGATTGGACAGTCTTTTGAGAATTAGTGAGGAGGGACCTTCAGTGAAGGATTATGATCCAACTGCTGCAATTGAGCAGTGGTATGGACAAGAGAAATGAAGGATCGGATTCGGTGGCCACGCTTATCCGGAGAAACAGAAGAAAGTCGAGATGTCGGACGCATCACGCCGAAATGCCTATTTTTCGGACCAAGAGTCGTCAGAAAGTAGTGCTGTGCGCTGGAGTTGCCGGAGTTCTGCTGGAGCTCCGGTGGTTTTCCGACGCCGGAGCAGAATTTTGTACGGCAAAATGACAAGAAAACAATTGAAATGAGACAAATGTCAAACGATTGTTAGTTACTGCAAACTGCCAATTGCTGTCAATGAATTCATCAGACTCAAACTGCCACAGTCCACAGGAACAGCATTGAAAAGCTGTAATACGATCGCAACTTACAAACGTCATGCTTTCGTGAAGCCACTCTGACTTAGCGCTATGTCATAGTCTGTGTATTCATGCCTTGTGAATAACGAAAAAGTACAAAACAAA